TGAAACTGACCAGCGGCTGACTACAGGAAGCCCGAGGCAGAGTTGCTCTGCCCCAGGCTTCCTGGAATCAGCCGCTGATCAGTTTCAGCAGCAGCTGACTTGGGGACGCCTGGGTTTCTTAAGTTGAATCTGTATGTAAGTCAGAACTGGCATCCAGATTCAGCCGCGGTTGAAACTGATCAGTTTCAGCAGCGGCTGACGCCAGCTCCGACTTACATACAAATTCAACTTAAGAACAAACCTACAGTCCCTATCTTGTACGTAACCCGGGGACTGCCTGTATTGGAAAAAGGAACGCAAATTGCGGAGCACAATTTGCATACCTTTTGCTGATAGATCATTGTAGTGTAGACATAGCCTTGGTTCTGGAATCTACAAGAGGAGAGGCAATTCTTGATTTAGTCATAGGATCTGCTCCAAGAGGTGAAAATAGCTGGACCACTTAGAAATAGTGACCTTAATATAATTAAATTTAACATCCCTGTGGCAGGAAAACACCACACCAGCCCAATACTGTGGCATTTAATCTCAGAAAAGGGAACTACACAAAAAAGAGGTTAGTACATTGCCAAAAATGAAATCCCTTCAAGCTGCATGGAAACTTTTCAAAGACACCACAATAGACGCTCTACTTAAATTTATACCCCAAATTAAAAAAAAAAAACCAGAAGGAGAAACAAAAAAGTGCCACCATGGCTTAACAATCAAGTAAAAGAAGCAGTGAGAGACAAAAAAGGCATCATTTAAGAAATGGAAGTTGAAGCCTAGTGAGGAAAATAGAAAGGAGCATAAACTCTGGCAAACGAAGTGTAAAAATATAATTAGGAAGACCAAAAAAGTATTTCACAGTTAGTGAAAGACTCAAAAGTAATAATAAAAAATGTTTAAGTAAATCAGAAGCAGGAAGTCTGCTAAACAACCAGACCCTCAAAGATCATTGCAGAGAAACTAAATGAATTGTTTGCATCTGTATTCACAGCTGAGGACATGAGGGAAATTCCCAAACCTGAACCATTCTTTTTAGGTGACAAATCTGAAGAACGGTCCCAGATTCAGGTCTCATTAGAGGAAGTTTTAGAATAAACTGATAAACTTAACAGTAAAAGGTCATTGGGACCAGATGGCATTGACCCAAGAGTTCTGAAAGAACTCCAATGTGAAATTGCAGAAGTAGTAACTGAATTTGTAATCTATCCTTTAAAACATCTTCTGTACCACATGACTGGAGGATAGCTAATGTGATGCCAATTTTTTAAAAGGGTTCTAGAGATGATCCTGGAAATTACAGGCTGTTAAGTCTAACTTTAGTACCAGCAAACTGGTTGAAATTATAGCAAAGAACAGAATTTTTGGACACACAGATGAACATAATTTGTTGGAGAAGAGTCAATGGCTGCATCTAGACTGGCATGATTTTGCGCAAAAGCAACAAAATCTTGCCACATGTCTACACTGGCCGCGAGTATTTGCGCAAGAACCACTGATTTTCTACAGTACAAAGTCAGTGTTCTTGCGCAAATACTCTGATGCTCCCGCTCAGGGATAAGCCCTCTTGCGCTAGTATTCTTGTGCAAGAGGGCCAGTGTAGACAGCCAAGTTAATTTCTTGCGCAAGAAAGCCCGATGGCTAAAATGGCCATCGGAGCTTTTTTGCACAAGAGAGCATCTACACTGGCACGGATGCTTTTGCACAAAAGCAAATCCTTTGCGCAAAGGCACATGCCAGTATAGACGCTCTCTTGCGCAAATACTTTTAACGGAAAAACTTTTCTGTTAAAAGTATTTGCGCAAAATCATGCCAGTCTAGACGCAGACAATATGTTTTTTGTAAAGGGAAATCATGCCTCACCAATCTACTAGAATTCTTTGGGGAGAAGGGTCAAAAGCATGAGGACAAGGGGGATCCAGTGGATATAGTTTACTTAGATTTCCAGAACGCCTTTGACAAGGTCCTCACCAAAGGCTGTTAAGCAAAGGAAACTTTCATGCGATATGAGGGAAGAGCCTCTCATGGACTGGTAACTAGTTAAAAGACAGGAAACAAAGTGTAGGAATAAATGGTGAGTTTTCCGAATGGAGAGAGGTAATTTGTGGAATCCTGTAGGGGCCCACACTGGGGCCCAACCTATTCAATATGCTCACAAATGATCTGAAGAAAGAGATAAAGAGCAAGGTGGCAAAATTTGCAGATGATACAAAACTGCTTAAGATAATTAAACCCAAAGCAGACTGTGAAGAGCTTCAAAAGGATCTCACCAAACTAGATGACTGGGCAACAAAATGGCAGATGAAATTCAGTGTTGATAAATGCAAACTAATGAACATTGGAAAACAATCTCAACTATATGTATAAAATGCTGGGACTAAATTAGCTGTTACCACTCGAGAGAGAGAGATCTTGGAGTCATTGTGTATCATTCTCTGAAAACATCCACTCAGTGTGCAGCAAGCAGTCCTGTTTCACTTTAGAGACTAACAAATATATATATAGTATCATGAGCTTTCGTTGGCAAAACCCACTTCCTCAGATAAGCAGACTGGAGAAACTCTGCTCATCTGAGGAAGTGGGTTTTGCCCACAACGCTCATGATAATATATTTTTGTTAGTCTCTAATGTGCTACACGACTATTTGTTGTTATATAAATTCACAGCATGCCCTCATCTTGAATACTGCATATAGGGCTACATCTAGACTACAGGCTTCTTTCGGAAGAAGCTTTTTTCAGAAGAGAGCTTCTGAAAAAACTTCTTCTGAAAGAGAGGATCCACACTGCAAAAGTGCATCAAAAAAGTGATCTGCTTTTTCGAAAGAGAGCGTTCAGACTGAATGGACACTCTCTCGCATGTGAGCTGTTATTGCTATGGACGGAATGGCCACCAGGGAACCTGTGCTTTTTCTTCTTTCCTCTTCTTCCGAAAGAGCTCCCTCTTCGCCGTCCACACACGCCTTTTGACGAAAGAGCTCTTTCGCAAAAAGGCTTCTTCTTTGTAGAATGAGGATTACCAATGCTGGAAAAACGCCTCTGTTCTTTCGATTTTCTTGTGGAAGAATGCAATTGCAGTGTGGATGTTCCTGGAATTTTGTTGGAAATACGGCAGTTTTTCCGACAAAACTCTGTTGTGTAGACATACCCTAGGTGTGGTCACTTCATCTCCAAAAAGATATCTTGAATTGGAAAAAGTTCAGAAAAGGACAAGAAAAATGAGTAGGAGTATGGAAGAGGAGAGATTAAGAAGATTGGGACTTTTCAGTTTAGAAAAGAGATGTCTAAGAGGGGATATGACAGAGACCTATAAAAATCATGATTGGTATGGAGAAAAGTGCATAAAGAAGAGTTATTTACTCCTTTCCATAAAAAAAGAAGTAGGAGTCACCAAATGAAATTAATAGGTAGCTGGTTTAAAACAAACAAAAAGAAGTTCTTCTTTAACACCGTCAATCTGTGGAACTCCTTGCCAGAGGATGTTGTGAAGAGCTGGAACCAAGGCCTTCACTGCAGCTTGGCTGGGTGCTGGGCTAACCACAATGGACCATGCTTTATCCTTCACTGCTCTGTGCTACCCTAAGGCCTTCCTGCTCTGTGTGCCAGTTAATGAATAGCCAGCCCTTCCTGCTGTGACAACACTGAGTGTCACTGCTACTAGTACAGGGTGCATTGGCCCCTAACAAGTGCACAAAGCTCCATCAGGGTCTCTCGGCTGGACTCACTGGACAGAGCTCACAGTGCTAAGCAGGAGCGCTGCAGGCTCTGGAGTCTGTTCTCAGGAGGTGGTCAAGCCCTAGAGGAAGAGCAAGACCCCTAGGGGCCTGGCATGGAAGGGGTCTTCCTAGAGACCATTCCAAAGCATGGATCCTGTGGAGCCGTGACATACCTGCAACCCTCCTGGAGCTCCCACATTACCTGTTGTGAAGTGTGGTTTGGCAGGCGGCTCTTGCACCGGCAAGGAGAGTGCCTTGGTGGGTGCTTCTTGGGCAGGAAGGGCAATGGTAGCGGTGGCAGGAGATGACTGGGCCCTGGAGAGAGGCCGGGGCCCTCCGTGGGGGGCAGGGACGAGGAGCGGGTGCTGCAGGCGCTGGTGCTGCTCCCACAGGTAGGCCTGAGGCGGAGAGGATGTGTCAGATTAGTGTGGCGCCCTAGGCCCAGCATGCTCCGGGACACTCTGCAGAGGACCTGGGTGCACATGCCGGGTGCTCTAGGCTGGGGACGCCCATGCGTGTCAGTGAGCCCAGAGCAGAGGCTGTGCTAAGATTGCCAGGGCCAGTCTGCGTGGCAGCCAGCAGCTTTCGGCAGCATCTCAGCAGCTCTTCAAAACCAGGCCTGATCTGCTGCGGGGGCGAGGATCTCTGCCCTGAACATCAGGATCTGCCCCCCGTGCAACCCAGGGCTGGAAACCCTCACCCAGGGCTTTCCCCACAACCGACCAGGATGTTGCTGCCAGAGTGCCAGCATGTGCCCTGGCCCAGTCACGGTGTCTACTGCCCTCTGGTGGCCCCGCATGGCATTACCCCACCCGCTGAGCTTCGGTTTCAGGCTAGTTGAAACTCTGAGACTTCCCTCTCCCTGCCCAGTGGAGCCCCAGGCAAGCTACAGACTCTCTGTGCCTTCCCTCCTCAGACCCCAAGCCATATGCCCCATGCAGGTTGCAGAGTGGTTGAGGAGGAGGTATTTGCTACTCAGTTTCCTGGGTTTATCAGTAATCTGTCTGGAGTCCAAGGAGATCACTGATGATCCCAGGAAGCTGGACAGCACATACTGCCTCCTCAGATGTTCCAGAACCTGCATGGGGTATAATAAAGCAAAAACTTCCCCCCAAAACCACACAGCCAGGGTCCAGCAGCATTGCCAAACAGGAGCATACTGGCAATCAAAATAGGCCTGGGAAATGGGTTGAGAACGGCCCTCCCCATGTCACCCGTGTGACCCTCAGCGTGGACACAGAGCCACTCGGAGTGAGGGGCAATGGCGTGCGGACACAACGGTCCACCGGACAACGGCCCACCAGGAAATTCCCAGTATCCCGCTGGGCCAGTCCGCCCCTGGCTGAGGATTCCTAGATGTGAAGGGCAAACGGACACAGCAGAGCCAGGAGCTAAGGCTGCCCGGCTTCTAATTTTTTCTGTCCATGTGCGGAATACGCTGTTATAAATACATTTTGTATGTGGGAATGTGCACAACTGGTAGAAACACAACCCTAGCTGTGGGTGCTCTGCTGATCAGCTGGGCGGCATTGCAATCCCACCTGAGTGGCCGCACTCCCATAATACATCTCTGTGTCAGCAAGCCCACATGTGAATGAGGCTCCTGCGAAGGCTCAGAATAGTGTGCAGGAAACAAGGAAACGCAGTGATCAGTGAAGAGAAACCCAGATGCTGGCTGGCTGCTCCTTCAGTGAGCACTGCCCCGGTAGAGGAGTCTCTTTGGGTACGTCTAAACTACATGGCTCCGTCGACAGAGCCATGTAGATTTGTTTGTTCGGCAAAGGGAAATGAAGCCGTGATTTAAATAATCGCAGCTTCATTTGAATTTAAATGGCTGCCGCGCTGAGCCGACAAACAGCTGATCAGCTGTTTGTCGGCTCAGCGTGCTAGTCTGGACGCTCCTGCGCCGACCTGAAAGCCCTTTATCGACCTCCCCGGTAAACCTCATCCTATGATGTTTGTTGGCTCAGCGCGGCAGCCATTTAAATTCAAATGAAGCTGCGATTATTTAAATCACGGCTTCATTTCCCTTTGCCGAACAAACAAATCTACATGGCTCTGTCGACGGAGCCATGTAGTTTAGACGTACCCAAAGAGACTCCTCTACCGGGGCAGTGCTCACTGAAGGAGCAGCCAGCCAGCATCTGGGTTTCTCTTCACTGATCACTGCGTTTCCTTGTTTCCTGCACACTATTCTGAGCCTTCGCAGGAGCCTCATTCACATGTGGGCTTGCTGACACAGAGATGTATTATGGGAGTGCGGCCACTCAGGTGGGATTGCAATGCCGCCCAGCTGATCAGCAGAGCACCCACAGCTAGGGTTGTGTTTCTACCAGTTGTGCACATTCCCACATACAAAATGTATTTATAACAGCGTATTCCGCACATGGACAGAAAAAATTAGAAGCCGGGCAGCCTTAGCTCCTGGCTCTGCTGTGTCCGTTTGCCCTTCACATCTAGGAATCCTCAGCCAGGGGCGGACTGGCCCAGCGGGATACTGGGAATTTCCTGGTGGGCCGTTGTCCGGTGTACTGTTGTGTCCGCACGCCATTGCCCCTCACTCCGAGTGGCTCCGCGTCCGCGCTGTATGCAGCACGCAGAGCCCGACCCGCCGCCTGCGCCAAGTACCGGACATGATGCAGGGGGCGGGGCTTGAGGGGCACGCAGGGGTGATGTCATGGGGAGGGCTGTTCTCAACTCATTTCCCGGGCCTATTTTGATTGCCAGTACGCTCCTGTCCTCAGCAGAGCCTTCCACCCTGACGGGGGCATGACGCAACAGCAGCAGGCCGGAGCTGGTAGCCGAGGGGCAGTGAAGGGTGCCCAGAAAGCCTTTGTGCAGGCCCACAGGTGCCCTTCAGTCGTGTGCCTCTTTCATGGGAGGGTGTTTGCCCAGGGGTCTTTGTGCTCTCCAGAACAGAGGAGCTGGCAGCCAGAGGCTGGATGATAAGTCCTGAGCGCTCTGTGCAGCTGCCCCCCGCCCTCCTGGACATGGGTTTGGAGAGGATATCAGCACCACTCGCCATGGCCAGTGAAGTCAGGGCTGCTCCAGGCTGGTGTTGTGCCCAGTTCCACTTGTCTCCTGATCCCTGTCAGCCCTAAGGTACCTGCTGCAAGACAAGCTCCTCCTGTGGCTGCAAGAGCTTTGGGCTCCGCTCAGGCTCCTTTGTGCTGCCCCCTGGCCGCGTGAGCTCTCCTCGGCCTTTAGGCTGGTCACCGCGCCCGCTCGCTCCCTCTGGGAGCCCCCGCTCGGCCTCCATGTCCTCCGAGGAGGGGATCTGCCGCAGACGAGGCTTCTCGGTGGACTTGGCCATGAGCTACAAGGGGATGAGTCTAAATCACTTTGGGGAAGGAACCTACCAGAGACTGGATATGGCCAGAAACCTCTTTAACATGTTTAATTAAATAAATACTAGTGGGAATTGTGTGACTCTGGGAGACTTTAACTTTTCTGAGAGAGATGGGTGGACAAGTGCTAATAGGAACAGGAGGCCCAGGTTTCCTGGATGCGCTGGCTGACAGATTTCTTCACCAAATAGTCGCCCAGGCTCCAGGAAGTGATTGCATTTTAGATTTGGTACTGGTGGGTCGCGAGGACCTCGCAGAAGAGCTGATAGTAGGAGACAATCTTGGTTCTAGGGATCACGAGCTAATTCAGTTTAAATTACATGGAAGGATAAAAAAATCGATTCACCCTGAGGGGCCTTGATTTCAAAAGAACACATTTTAAGAAATGAAGGAAATTAGTTAGGGAAGGGGGCTGGGCCAAAGAGCCCAAGGCTCTAAATGGCGAGAAGGCCTGGAATTACTTTAAGGCAAAGTTCCGAAGCTCTCTGAAGCCTGCCTCCCAAGCAAGGGGGAAACTGTAAGGAAAGGTTGTGGCTCAGTCAAGATGAACTCGCATCTCAAACAGGTGACTAGGCGAGAGCAGAAAGCCTACAAGGAATGGGTGATGGGTGGGATCAGCAAGGAAAGCGACTGCTTGGGGGACAGAAAGTGGAGGGGAAAAGTGAGAACTGCGAAAGCCAAGCACTGCCGGGCCTTGCAAAGAGAATTAAAACCAACAGTAAAAGGGCCTTTAGCCATGTAAATCAACAGGAAAGAAGGAAAGAAAAAGTAGAGATAAGCACTGCAGATGGGGCGGAGATTAAAGATAATCTGGGAACAGCCCAACACCTAAACAAATACTTTGCCTCAGTTTTTAATAAGGAGCTTGGGGCAGTGGCAGGGGGGCTAATGGAAATGAAGATATGGAAACAGAAATTATATCAGAGGTGGGAGTCAAACAGTTTTACTAGGACTAAATCAGGGGTCTGGGATACTCTCCATCCAAGCATATTAAAGGAACTAGCATATACAATTGTCTGGCTCTGTACATGGGATTATGGGGGATCAGTGTGGAGGGTGGATGCCCTGCACAGGGGAACTTGGTGGGGGGGGGGGGAGGACTTGGGGGGGGGGGGGGGGGAAAGGGGAGCAGGGCTAGAGCACATCACCCTGTGCTCCCCAGGAAATTGCCCAATTCACTAGGCCACTCCAGATCCCATCCCACTGCCTGACCTTCAGGATATCCCTTATCCTGCCTTCCTAATACCATTGCCTGCTCCATCCTAGGGGGCTCTGCACACGGAGTTATGAAGGACCAGAGTGGCGGGTGGATATCTTGGATGGAGGATGGGGGGACTCTGTACACGAGGTTATGAGGGACCAGGGTGGCGGTTGGACGCACTGGATGGGGGGCTCTGCACACGGAGTTATGAGGGACCAGGGTGGCGGGTGGATATCCTGGACGGAGGATGGGGGCGCTCTGTACACGGGGTTATGAGGGACCAGGGTGGCGGGTGGATATCCTGGACGGAGGATGGGGGCGCTCTGTACACGGGGTTATGAGGGACCAGGGTGGCGGGTGGATATCCTGGACGGAGGATGGGGGCGCTCTGTACACGGGGTTATGAGGGACCAGGGTGGCGGGTGGATATCCTGGACGGAGGATGGGGGCGCTCTGTACACGGGGTTCTGGTAACTGTAAGGGCAGCAGCAGACACCGGGGAGCTCACTTGCTGTCCTGGGACCAAGGGAGGGCAAAGCAGCTGCTTGTGTCTTTGGGCAATGTGCCACTCAGTGCCCAGGCCTGGCAGACAGGGTGCCACATGGACCTCGCTCCATCATGCATGTGAAGAGCTCTCAGCCCCCAGGTGCTGCCCTGCACGGTGCCCTCTTGCCCTGGCCGTGGTGTTCCCAGCCTCTTACCTTGCCCAAGTGTGTCTGCTGCTTGAGCCTCTCCAGGAATTGGGCATGATGCTGTTGGTACGCCAGCTGCTGCTGGATGGCCTTAGGATTGGGGGGCAGGGGCTCCGAGCGGGTCCGCCCCAGCGGTTTGTGGTGGCCTGGCAGTGACAGCCGGTCGGTGGGGATGAGCGAGTGGGCGAAGTGGAACGGGACCGTCCCCAGGCCTGGCACTGTGGGGAGAGAGACTGGTGAGGCAGGGCTGGAGCTGGGTGCAGCACCAGAGCACCTCAGGCAGCCTGGGCTGGGTGTGTGGCATTATTGTCCCTAGCCTGGCCTGTGCCCCCTTCCCCCGGCCTGCCCTGTGCTACCACTCAGAGCCTTGTGGCCCCCTGGGCCTCTGCAGAAGTCATGTCTGCTGGGCCCACCCCTCCCCATTTCACTTATTTATACAGCTCTTACAGATGTGTAAGGGGCCCTGGTACAGATGTTCCCCTTCCTCCTCCTCAGCTCTGGGCTCCCCACTGGGCCAGCTAAGCCCTGAGAACCTGAGCTCCAGGGCACTCCAGGCAAGCACTCCCCAAGGACCGAAGCGCTAGGGCTCTCAGTGGGGGGCAGGGGGCAATCTCTGAGGGAGGGGAATCTACCTAGCTCCCATTGGAGAAGGGGATTCTCCCTGGGACTCTCGGGGGCGAGGGAGGAGGCAAGCTCCATATTCTCACAGTGTGTAGAGGGGCAGGCCTTGATCTCAAGGCTAGCTGGCTCTCCAGCCAGGTGCTAGCCCACAGTGCAGCACGTGGCAGGCTGGGAGGTGAGCAGCACTGGGCCTTCACCTTACACCTGGACTCAACTCCCACCCATGTCACCCCCACTGCCCTGCCACTGGACACTCTGCGGTGCCTGGGGAGGGCTCTGGCTGCCCCTCACCAGCTCTGTCTCTTCTGCTCCACAGCTGATGGGGCCGAGGGGCTGCGGAGTCATGGAGAAGGAAGCCCAAAGGAGGAGGTTGGGAGCTGACAAAGGAAGACTCATCCCCTACCAGCCCCAACAAGTCAGCTGTGGCCTTGGCTGCAGTTGGGAGAGCAGCCTGGATCGGAGCTGAGCTGTGCAGGAGCATCTGCCTGAGCATTCAGGCTACTTGAAGTAACCCCTGACAGCCAGCAGCTTCCCAAGCCATCTCCATTAGTGTTCACTCTGAGACCTAACAATGTGGGATTGCAAAGCAGCTCTCGTGCCAGCTGGTCAGAGGGGAGATCATTCAGCCCAGCCCAATCGTCCGGGCCGCCAGGGGATCTCACATAGCCCCGCGGGAATCTGTGGAGATCCCGGACCCCAGAGGCACTGGGAGTGCAGCCTCAGAACCAGGCCCCTTGGTCCAGTGGGAGTAATACGTACTTGCCACAAGGGGCGCGTGGGTGACCGAGGACTCGAGGATAATGACAGGCTGAAGCCGAGGGGACAGAGGACCCCCAGGTTCATGCTGCTCCAAGCCAGCTGGGATGAACATGGACGAGTGGGTGCCTGGGAGGACAGGCCCATTCAGCACTGGCACTCGGTGAGCCAAGCCAGAGAGGGAGCGACGGTCTGCGTCACCCTGCAGAGAGAACAGGGATCCATCAGCAGCATACCAGGGTGTGGGCAGGCGCAGACTGACCTGGCCGGGGCACTGGCACGATCCAGAGGAAAGGGACCCCGGCTGCGTGTTCCTGAGCGGGGTCCTTGTGGGACTGAACACCCATGAAGTGCTGCGGTACATCCAGGGCTGCTGCTCAATGACCCGTGTTATCCTGGCCCTCCAAAGGGGGGCTGGGCTCGCCCTGCCCTGCACAAGCCCTCAGCAGGATTCCAGAGTCCCTTGTGACCCAGCTGCTCCCCTGGCAGGGGCAGTAACCCGCAGTCCCAGCATGATGGCCGGAAGAAAGGCCACGTTCTGCGGGGCAAACTGGGCCCGTGAGCTCTCCTGCATCATCGGGCGCAGGGCGAGCAGCGCTCGCACCAAACACAACGTATCAGTCTCCAGACTCATGTGGGTACAGCTGTGTGGGGCAGCAGCAGTGGGTGGCACGGACCCCGGGGGGAGACACCAGCACCAACCAGCAGGCACGAGGAAGACACAGCCCAGATGGGACCTAGAGGGCATCAGGGCAGCCATGTGGTGGCTGGTGACTAGCCAAGGGCAGACGCTTTGGGTGGGGTGCCACCAACTGGGGAGGGGGCAGCAGAGCCTAGACATCTGGGACTAAACCTAACTGGTTGTTTCCACAGAAGTGGGGATTCTGCGAGGAGAAGTTATCCGGTCCTAGCTCCAGGCTGCAGGGCCCACGAGAGATCGGGGGACAGAACTGTGGAGTGCCGTAGCCCAGGCTGCTCTCTGGGGCAGCTTGCCCCAAAGACCCTCCCAAAGCAGCATGGCCTGGGCTCCTGGTTCCCTTCAACAGGCCTGCAGGCTCCGTACCTCATGGGCAATGCTGGGCCCGGTGGGGGGGACTCCATGTTCCGCTGGGAGGCTGTCGTTGGGGGAGCTGCAGCCTGACACGGGGGTGCTGCTACTGCTGGGGGAAGAGTCTGCACAAGGAGGAGAAGTCAGACAGGAGAGCGGCAGGATGAAGGGTCTCCAGGACATGCAGGGGCCTAGCACCTTCCCGGCTGCAAGCAAATTGCTCCCCTCACACCTTTCCTTCCCTCAGGTACCTCTGCATCCCTTCCCAGGAACGCAGCCTCATCCTCCCTCTCATGCACTGCTTCCCCTCACAGCTGCCTCACTCTCCCTCACACCCCCAGCTACCCCAGCCCGTGCTGCCCTCCGGGCACCTGCACAGTGCCTTTGCCAGAATGCATCTGGACTGAGCCCTCTCCCTGACCAGCTGTCTGAGCCCAGGAGAGAGGCAAGGCCAGCCCATGCCCTGAGAGCACATACGCCTAGCAGTGCACCAGCCAGAGGCAGCCGGCATCTGTGCAGGGACTACCCCGAGGCAGGGCAGTGTGCGCCATTCTGGGGCAGTGCCTGGGGTATGCTACCTTCTGCCCAGCTGCGTCAGCGGGACCAGTGCCACACTTGGGCAAGTCCTGCTGCTCCCAGCAGGGGTCGGGCAGCCATGGCTGGGGCAGTGGGCAGGCACAGTTTGCACAGACTGCCTTGGGCCAATTAACCCCTTGGGCCTCTAAGAGGTCACGGAACCAGCCCAGTGCAGCCCCAGCATTGCCCTCCCCACTGGCAGGAGGCCCCCTTAAAGAGCACTGCTGCCATGGGACAGGCCCAGCC